ATCTTTTTTTTTTGCTTTTTCTCCCATTTATTTATTAATTTTGTGACAAAAAAGTGTATATATTCATTATATAAAACATATTGTTTTGAAATATATATACCTTGTGGAGCTAGTTAACATATGAATTACCTCACATACTTATAATTTTTTATGGTGAGAATAGTTAAAATCTACTCTCTTAATGATTTTCAAGAATTCAATATATTATTATTAACTATAGTCACCATGTTGTACAACAGATGTTTTGAACTGATTCCTTCTGTCTAATTAAAATTTTGTATCCTTTGACTGACCTCCTCAATCCCCACCTGCCCACCCTAGCCCCTGGTAACTATCATTCTGTTCTCTACTTCTAAAAGTTCAACTTTTTACACTTCCCGTATAAGGGAGATCAAGCTATATTTGTCTTTCTGTGCCCAGCTTATTTCACTTAACATAGTGTCCTCTAGGCTCACCTTTGTTGCCATGAAAGATAGGATTTCTTTTCTTTTCATTGCTGAATAGTATTTCCTTGTGTATATACCATATTTTCTTTATCCATTCATCTACACATGGACACTTAGGTTGATCCATAGCTTACCTATTGTGAATAGTGCTTCAGCGAACATGGAGTGCAGATATCTCTTCAGCATACTGGTTTCATTTTCTTTGGATATATACCCAACACTGGAATTTCCAGGTCCTATGGTAATTCTATTTTTAATTTCTTGCTCCATACTGTTTTCTACAGTGGCTGTACTAATTTACCTTCCCATCAACAGTGTGCGAGGGTTTCCTTTTCTCCACATTCTCTCCAGCACTTATCTTTCATCTTTTTTATAATAGCCACGTGTAAAATGTTTAAGGCTCTAACATGTGGAGTGAGTATATGTATCTTTCTTTTCCTCTCTTGTTTTTAATATATGTGCTTCACCAACCCAAAATTTCATATTATTCAGACCTATTAATAGGTGGGAATTACACATTTAAAATAGTATTAACTTCTATTTGTATAGCAGTTTCCTTTTACCATGCACAGCCATTGACCTTAGTTTACTGGGTTGTCATAAAGCTGGTGGTGGGGGCAGGATATGATCGGCTTTTTAGTTCTTTATAATCATTCTAAAGGTAAAGAAACAGTCTTATTAGATCACGTGCCTAAAGTCAAGGTTTGCCTGTTGATCCTAAGTACAGTCCCTTCTGTTGAAGCCACATAGCATTTCTAACAAGGACATTATTGAGGAATGGGGATGTCTGATGTAAGGTCGCCTCTACTGCTGGATCACATACGAGACACAGCTCAGTCTTCCTGGTGGACAGCCTTTATTTCATCTAATCCTTCCTCAGAATTAGCAGGTACCTCACAAAAGCAAGAAAAAAGGGTAATTAAAATACTGACGGTATACTGATTGCCAGTTTATGCTTGGCACTATATAAATTTTTAAAGGTGTTGCTATTGTAGAAGATCCTAAAATAGTGTAGTAAATACATATTTTTAATGTGACAAAATTATAATTTTTAAACAATAAATTATGCTTTTCTTGGTATATGATTTTTTGTGTGTGTTGAAGTTTTTTTTTTTTTTTTCCCTGCCCTGAAAAGCCATTTTGCTACAAGTCCAGTTCTTTTTACTTTTATCCACAGGGAAGTCATAATCCCCTACTTAAATAGAAGCTGGGTTACCATGGAAATCATTATAATGCCACTGAATCAATATTTTGATTTTGCTAGTGTTTAACATAAAAAGAAAAGACAGGCTAAGATTTATAAAAGTCACTTTTTATCTTTGTTATAATGTTGATAGCTAGAAAAATTGTAAAGAAAACATATGCTGATAATGAACTCCAGTGAACATACAATTATATAGAACTGACAGTTCATAAAAGAAAACCTACATATTTATATAATTTTGGCTTTGAATACACACATATGCATGTATGCATTTGGAGTCAAGATTTTTTTCCCCATCTCTGAACTTGAGCCTTGATTCTACACTGCTATTATTGAAGTCATAACTTGGTAGTAGAGATTTGAGTATATCCGGTTTTGCAATTGCTTTTTTTATTAAGTGTTCTACAGAGAAAGTAAAATTCTCATGGAGAATCACTTTTCCAATAGAAGTCTACCATTTCTGTACCATATCCTAATAACTTATGCAGTCCACTCAACACCTCAAAGATCCACTACAGCTGAGGGTGTTTCAATCTGTCCCGAGAGCTCCTTTTGGAGAAGAAATGTTGGGCTTGGACTTCACGTTTAATGCGCCTCACCACCCATCAAGTATTTTTCCTAACAAGTCTTTGCTGCTGTAATTTACTCACTTTCTCTTCTTCTGTCTTCAGAAGAAATAAAGATTAGAGAGCTGCTGTCTTCTGTTTGATAACTAGCCATTGGGAACCCTAGATCCTTAGCTGGTGAAAAGATCTGAGAATTATGAGCCTCTCCACCTCAGGAACTAGTCACCTGAAGCATCCCAAATGAATGGGGATCTCTTCTATTTAAGATGATTGAATCGTCACTCACATTTTTCTTCTGTGGGACAGTAATCGTGATTTTTCCCATGCTTTCACTCTCAGTACCCAGCTCTCCATCCCGTAAGGGGGCTGTTCTAAAGTGTGTATTTTACACTCTTTGCAAGAATGTTCCTGGCAGTGTGACACTGCTGGGTAACATATCCCTTACTGGCTGCTTTCCTTGCCTGGCTCCTCTCTCCTCTTCCTTCAGGTGGTTATTTTATTCCCCCCTATTCTTGAATCATTCCAGGTTGCATTCAGGCCTTCATCATCCAGAGAGCACTGTCTTAAATCAGTGATCTTTTCTCGTAAACAATCTAATATAATTGATTATGTAATTTTCTGGACTTCTGGACACAAGATCACAAAAAATAAAAATAAATGAAAAGTACCAAGTATTAATATCAGAGGAAACTTGAGAATATATAAAATTTACAAAATGCAGGTCTCTGGGGCCCTTTAGTGTATTATAAAGTAAATTAAACATGTACATTATTTCTAAAAGCATGACTGTTTTACAAGTTGAAGGGCATAATGATAACCCTGAACCATGAGACAAAGAATCAAATATTTACTATACTCTAGGAAGGCAGAGGAACAATAAAGGGAGTTATGCAAATATACATACAAACACCCCCCCCCACACACACACACAAATGTCCTTTGTGGTACTATTCATTGTAGCTAAACAAATTAGAACCAACCCAAGCATTCATCAAGATAATGATTAAATAAATTACTATGTTGTATACTTCTCTCTGTAAAAATGATGCTTCTGGACAAATTGAATGCCATGAAAAATAGTCACGATAGAATAAGTGAAAATACAAAACACAAGACTCTATGAACTCTGATTTCAATTTTGCAAATATGCATACACGTTATTAACATGTGCTCTCACATACATACATGTACACATGATATATTTTTGCATATATATATTTAGTGGAAAAACTGAAACTAAGAGGAGATATTCCTTATTGAATTGAGGGATTGGCTCCATTTCCAGGCATTTTTTTGTATTATTTAATATGCAATGAAGCTAATGTTTTTTGTCTAAGGCACCTGACACCACTAAGGGAGAAAGGAGAGCTGAGGGTGGAGGAAGAGAGACGGTACACACCTCATGGGCACCTCATCTCGTGGACTTCACTTGAGCTTCTGTGGAAAGATTAGGCCAGAATACCAGGGAGCTTTCGTGAGGGACTGGGGAGACCACGTGACAAAGAACTTTGCCTAGTTGAGGAAAGAACCATGTTGCTTCCACTCTGCTGCAAAGCACTTTGAAACTTGGTACCATAGGGGCTCAGAGAAGCTTGCCATGGAAAAGAGATGACAGAGCAGGAGAAAGACTGTGGGATCTGGTGAAGTCTGCCCTCAAACTGGTTGCTGACAGCATTGGGGAACCTTGGGGTGTTTTCCACAACAGATATATAAAAGTCTGAATGGACTTGTGCAACAAATTGAATGTTTGTATCCCCTAAAATTAAAATGTTGGAACCTTAAACCTAAAGTGGTGATATCTGGAGGTGAAGTCTTTGGCAGGTAGTAAGGGCATGGGGTGGCACCCTCATGAATGGGATTAGTGTACTTCTAAGAAGTCCATAGTCTGCAATGCAGAAAAGGGCCCCACCCAGAACCTGACCATGCTGGTGTCCTGATCTTGGACTTCCAGACTCCAAAACTGTGAGACATAAGTTTCTATTGTTAATAAGCCACCTGGTCTATGGTACTTTGTTGTAGCTGCCCCAGCTGACTAAGACAGCTTATATCAAAGCCCAATAAAGACTCCTCTCCTACCAAAGAGTTCTTAGGAAAAACTCAGGAAAGCTAAGACCTTACTTTTTCAAGTAAGGGCTAAAGAGCTGGTAAGATCTCGTGTTGATGTTACCTAATTTATATTCATAGACCAGCAAGGGAGCTAGGATATATTTGATTTGTGTATTTCATAGCTGAGGAAAAAAACAGGTAAAGGTAGAAATAGGAACTATAAAGTGAAGACTTAGATATACAGTATGCACACACACACACATACATACATAAATTCGTATTCACTAGAAGAGAATACACCAAAATAGTAAACATGATTATTTCTAAAAGATAAGATTACAAGCTTTTTCCTTTTTATATTTTCCTGCATTAAAATATTCCCTTAACAACAAACAATAATACTTTTAATTGAACAAATAGTATTGATAAAAGCAAGAAAATATAAATTTTAGGTCTATTTCTAGGCAAAATAATTTTCAAATGATTTGAAGCTTTAAGAGGGTAAGAAACTCATATATTGTCTTCCCTTTCTGATGATACAAATGAAATACATTCTTCTGGATGTCATTTGACAACACATCAACAAATAACCTTCCCCTTGATTCTTCTTTTCTAGGACTTAGGGTGACGGAGGAACTATTATGTGACCCAGCGAGGAAGGCAGACGCTCGTTGGAATGCCGACCTGAACGCGGGGTCCGAAAGGGATTTCTGGGGAAATGGGCATGGTGAGTTTTACCTTCCGTCCTCTCGGGGGGTTTCCCGCTCTTACTGGCTGCTGTGCTGTCCACCGTCTCCGAGGAGGTGCTCAGCTTGGTGCTGGGGTCCCGCTTGGGTTTGGGTGGTGGTTGCCTCCTGGAGCCACAGCTGCTGTCGTCATCTGTGCCCCCAACCGAATGCAGGGACTGTGATCTCACGGAAAAGCCACTGGAGCAAGGATGGGGCAGTCTGTCCTGAGGAGCAGGCATTGTCATGAATCCCATGCGGAAGTGTTTGCCCACGTAGCTTCCTTCGTGGCCTCGCCCTACTTCTCCACCTATGCTGTAAAAGAAAGCAGACCAAAAGCCATGTAGATAAAATGAGCCAGGAGATGCAAGATCGTAGATGCCAGCGTGTTTGTAATAGGTGAGATTTCAAGTTTTCACTTTAAACATACCCTTTTACAAAGGATTGCTTTTTAAAACAATTTCAAGTAGAATGAAAGCATTCTATATTTTCATGTAAAATTATAAAAGGGAAGCAAATGCCATTTGATTATAAGCAGAAATATCAAAGATCTTAACATTTATTTCTGAATATATTGATATCCAGATAAACAGACTTTATCTTCAATCACTTTTATTTACTTTCAGGTAAATCTTATCAGTGGCTTAAAAAGTAAACAAAGATTTTGTGACAATGACTCATAGGGTTCTTTTGACATGTGACTGAGTCTAAGGGGTCAGCATTTGAGATTCTTCTCTACTTCATCAAAACCATCCCTACTTTTATCTGCTTAATATATTGGAGAAAATGAAACAAACAAATAATAGCAATAAAAATTGTTACCAAACACCGGAAAGAAAGAGAGAGTAACTGAGAGAGAGAAAGAAGAGAGGAGAGGAGAGCTGAGGGAAGGGAAAGGAAGGGAGGAGAGAGAAAAGGAGGGAGAAAAGGAGGGAGGGAGGGAGGGAAAATACTTGCTTAAATTGACGAAGGAATTATCAACCTCTCTCAGTTCTCCAGAGACCTTCAGTTACATTAGCAAAAGTTCTACTAATAAGCTGGCCACACGGAATAAAATATTAACAACATCTAGTAAAGAGGTGGTAACTTAAATATTATCTAATCCTGAGATAGTTCTCAATATTTCATAAGTATTTAGGGTATGCAGAGTTTCCAAATTTAAGGTTCTTAAGTTTTACATAGGAAAGTTTGAACAAAAATTTAAAGATATATAAGAAATCTCTCTCAGTTTGAAGTTCAATTAATCATATAGGAAATGACGCTTGGGCCTCTCTCTATGCTAATAAATAGTAGTGACTTTTTTATGAAGAAAAAGGACAAAAATGTGAAGGTGAATTTTTAAAAGGGAGATTTCTCTCAGATTTTGTCTATTATGAAATTCATTCACCAATAGAGTAAACAAAAAGAAACGTCATTACAAAATATTTGACGATTTTTCTTAGACATGTGGATGATAAAAAAATCTTTGAGTATATGAATTTTAGAAGCTTGTTGAGTCTACCTTTCCAGACACATGAATTTATTTAGAACTTTTTTTAACCTTAATTTTAGCTGGCTCTGCCTTCATAATATGATAGAATTCAAGGTAAGGTTTTTCAATACTCTTTATTGTATCTTTCATATCATTATGATGTTTGTCATAATTTTAACATTTCAGTAGGAACAATAATGAGAAATGAGATTTGTTTTCCTTCTTCCCCTGAAGACTTACGACAATTACATATCCATTGTGCATAAAGCCAAAAGAGAATTCGACAAGAATGTTAGACTCTGATTCTAGCATTTAATTACAATGATAACTTGCCATTAAACCAAGAAATATTTTATATGTATTTTATTTTTTTCTGAATGTTTTGGGAGATATTTAGACACTAAGTACTGTGTACCATCTTTGCAATAAAAGTGGCTGGCATTTCAGTGCATTAACCAGAGCAGCGATATCCAGGGCATGAATGGAGTCAAAGTGACAGTTAAGTGGAAGTTTGCATATCATTGCAGTAAGCATCCTAAGTCTGTGCAGTATTTTCATGCATTTTATTTTCTGTGGTGTTTTTTTAAAGAACATCAATCAAGACAAAAGCTAGAAGCTTACTCAAACAGAGTGGTTTGTGAAAAAGCATTAAGAATTTAAGGAAAAATAGAGGTGGTAGAGGTGAGGGGCAGTCTTGATGGTATGGGAAGGTTTGTCTTCAGTTTGTGATGTTGGTGATCTCAGTCTTTCTCATAGAAGATGAGCTATTTGATGTCATCTCCATGTTTTTTGCTGATTTCTGTAGGATCGTTGCACAAAAGGTGCCTTAAGCATTTATTTAGACAGTCATCTCATTCCCAGTAACACAGCCACCTGAAGAGATTTATACATGTGTTAATGCACACAGGCATTTATGGAGAGTCACTAGAAATAATTGTATCAGCAAATTCTCTGTTACTTTTGACCTAAATAGGGCCTGTCCCTTTTCCTGCACAGATAATTATCTTTGCTGCCTGGTTTCAGAATTATCTTTTTATCAGCACAAAACAATTTCATCTAACTCTATCTGTTTTTTGTTCATATATGTACTTTTACACACACATACACACACAAACACTTCTAGCAAGAGAAATTCAACGTGTGCTTCAAACAAGAACAGGTACAGGTGCAAGTTTAGTTTGACTAGGCTGTGAATGCAGGCTGAGGAAATGGGGCTAAAAATGTGTTGGTTTCATGGGCCATTGCTCAAGTCAAGGCTAAGAATAAGCCATAAAAGTGACGGCACATCTAGGTTTAATAGACCAAGAAAGATGATTAGTCCAAAGCAAATTGAAGATTGTGGAATGTAGTACGCAACCAGTTTCTGAATTTGCTGTAGGAACCTGGGGAGTTTTTAAGACATGCACATTCCTGGACCCCATACTAAGGGCAACAACTGAAATCACACCTGTTGAATCAGAATCTCTATGGGTACAGCCAGCGACTTTATGTTTTTAAAACTCTATCCAGATGTTGCTGATATAGCCAATCCAGAGCCCCCACAAAACATTAAGAGCCATTAATGAGCAAACATCTGTTAGTTAGAAGCAGTTAGAAAGATGCAAATACCAGGCAAAATATCATAGATAAGGAAATGTACAATGTATTAATCAGATCTTGTTAAGTTATCCTGCAGTAGCCAGCAATGCCCAATCCCTAGTGTTTTATAATGACATAGGTTTATTTCTTGCTTGTATTAATTGGATTGGCTGTGCATCAGCTGTGGCTCTGGTCCACTTATCTTCTTCATCCCAGGACCTAGCCTCTATTGGGACAAGTTGTTTTCCTGATAGAGACAGAAAAGCACCAACTGAATCACACAGTGTCTCTTATGGCTTCTGCTCAGATAGGGTATAAAGTCTTTTGATCACATTCCACTAACTCAAACCAGTCATATGACCAACTTTGATGTCAGTGGGGTGGGAACATATTCTACTCCAACAGGAAAGTACTGCAAGTTATTTGAGAATATGTGGGGATGCATATTCCTCTTGTAAGTAGGAGACAAAATACCTGGTGTGGCAGCTGTGGTGGTATGTGACTGGCATCACTCTTTAAGAGAGAACTTGCCATAAGTAATGAAGTTAGCAGATGAGACAATCCATGTTCCATTGGATCCTATCCCTATAATTCCAGGATCTACAGAGTTTAAGGACCTGGTCCCCAAAGGGACTCTTTCTGGAAGACACAGCAAGGGTCCTATTGAATAACAGCCTGTAGCTGCCCCTTGGGCAATTTGAACTCCTTTTGTGTAGTGAATAGCAGACAAGAAGAGGAGTCACCATTGTGGAAGAGATCCTTGATTCAGATGGGCAGGAGGCCATGGGGCTGCTTTTACAAGACAGGGCAGAGAGAAATGTGTGTGGAACCAAAGTGATCCACTTGGGCACTTCTTGATACTTTCTTGCCCAATTGTGACTATGCAAGGTCACGTGCAGCAACCTTAGCCCAATAAGAGTATGATTACCAGGGGTTCCAACTTCTCCTGAAAGAGGGATTAGTTTCACCACTAAGTAAGCCACTGAGACAAGCAGAAGTGTTACTGGAGGTAAGGTGAACTTGAAATGAATGGTGGAGGAGCCAGAGAACGAGGATCACTTGCAGCTCCTATGCAGACTGTAGTGATAAAGGCTATAGTTTATTGCACTAATTGCACCCTTCTAAATTTCCTCTTGGCAAGAGCCAGATGGAAACCATGAAAGAGCTGTCCCTAAATCCACAGGAGAAGGACATCGGGTGAGTCTAAGGAGTAAACTCTGGCAGCCATGATATGGAGGTGAGTGGCTCAGATCTCCCTCAAGAGAGAACCTTCTCTGAGGGGAGCAGTTAGCTGACAGCCACCAGCTACAGAGTCTTCAAAATCCAGTGTAGCATTTTGGTCAAGGCTTCACTGTCCCTGGGCAGCTCCTAGCCAATGGATGAGCACCAGGATACAATGTAGACCTGGCTACTCCTGCCCCATGTGGGGCGATCTTTGCATTCGGCTTCCCCTACTGGGCTGGTCCAGACTTTCCCATCGCTATACCACAGTCTGAGGCTCTTCCTATCTGATTGCTTTTCCTTGCCCACCCCTCCTTTCACAGGTGCCAGACCTGCATTGTGACCCAAGGCTTGTCCTTCCTGTCCCTGTTTCTTCCTTCTTTACCTCTCACAGGGATGGATGCTCAGTAACTCCCTCACACTTCTAACTCCTTCTTGGTGTCTGCTTCCTGGGGGACCTGAACTGACACACTTGGAAACAATCATACACCTTATGACATTCAGAAACCAAAGAAGCAGAGAAGAGAAAGCCTCAAAACAAATGTGAGACCCCAGAAATAAAAAATGCCTGTGAAAATAGGTCATTCTTCTGCTTTAGACTGAGCATTTAAATGGTGCTTGGGGAGTTAGAAACTAACTCCACTATAGGAATACTTGGCTTGAAGTGAAAGTTATGTGGGCTAAAGAAAGCAGAGTCTTTTTGCAATAAGACTCCAACACTCAAGATAGATTAAGCCTGACACATCTCATGTTATAAAAATAAAAACAAGTTTCATAATCCTGAATTTAAACAACTGTGCTTTTTCTTACACAATGAAGGCAATGTTGTGAGATCTAGTTGTTTATTGGTTAGTATTTCTATCACAAAACATGAAGAATAAAGTATTATTTAAATCAAGAGGAGGTTATTTTTCCAGAAGCAATTGATAAAATATTTGTAAACTTCTCCTCCAAACAAGTTGTTGTCTAACGGATAGGCTTGGACATGTGTGCACTGGAATCATTAAGTTATATGTAGGCTCTACCCTCACATCCATCATTTAGC